GGAGCAGCTAGCGCACATGGTGACTAAAAAATGTTTCCAAAGGCTATGATAGGTTGGCCGCTAATGACGAGTGGCGTCATTTTTGCCATTTTCGACCCAAAACAAGGTTTCGCGGGAAGAGCTGTTAGGCCTACAGCTTTAGAGATACAGAAAAATGTTTCAGACATAAAAGGTGTGGAATCAAAAGGGCTACAAAACTGCTTTTTCGGTTTTTAGAATTTTATGGATTTTGACCCCCAAAAATAAAAAGATAGATTTTTTGAATATAATAGCCGAAAAATCCAAAAAGTTTTTTGAATTTCGAAAAACCGGAATATATGTGATAGTCCCCACCGCCTTCTATCTACATACCAAATTTGAGGTCGATACCTCTTTTTTGGCCAAGTTATAGCGAAAAAAAAACTGTTCAAAATTGATGACGTCAAATTTTCAAACTCAATTTTTTTTTGCAATTCTAGACCTCGTAGCGCAAAACAAAGACCACCATTAGACTCCCCGTGACGAGCTGCATCGAATCGATACCAATTTTATGCAAAAATATCAACTTTGAAATTTGACCTTTTTGACCTGACCTTGACCTGACCTCCACCAGAAAGTGACCTAAACCGTACCTGATGGTCTAATAACCAACACCATTGAGTTGGAAATGAAAAAAAAAAACTGGCCATAAAACATGCATCGCATAACCTTAGTAAAGTTGGGCTCATGTGGTGACCCTTGATGACATTTGGTGACCTGACCTGTGACCTGACCTGGTATGACCAGTGACCTCTAATAGCAACATATGTACTAGACAACTGACGCCTTATCGCTGATTTTCGACAAAATGCGTTTTACTCGGTGTTATAGCGCTTTCCCTAGAAGCCCCGTGAACGGTGAAACATTTTATCTTTGACCTGACCTGTGACGTCATTGGTGGCCCCGAGGTCAATGAAATTTGGTTTCCTTCGACAAATTTGACAGGGCTATCGAACGCCGTTTGAATTTTCCGGATCCGTCCAGTAGTTTCGGAGATACGGGGGGGGGCAAAAAAATGCCCCCCCCCCCACCGCGCGGAAGGTGGCTGGTAGGCCCACCGCCTGCCGGGTTATATGCCATCTGCCCGTCATTTGCAGCTTATAAAAAATAAAACAAATATCAGCGAACATATCAGCATTGTACAAGCAATGCGCATTGAGCATTGAGCTCCTCAGTCATCATGTCGCTCTTTGGGCACTGTCAGACAAGACGTTACGCACAACTCCGCCGGCTTTCGGCACCGCTCGACCGTCCCCGCTCCCCGCCACAGCGCGAGTGACCGCGCGCCGGCCCGAAACCGCCGCAGGCCAAGACCACAGAGGCGGGGCTTCGCTCTGACGTCATAACGTATCACAGACTGACTGGTGATAGCCTCTACACGCCGGGTGAAAATCTTGCTCGAAATTTAACATTACGAGTCAATGAGAAGTGCCTGAAATATTGAAATGGCGACAAAATATCTAAATTGTAAAAGTTTCGGCAGGTCTTGAAACGGCCATGTCCTGAGCTTGGTTGAAATTATTCTATGCATTTAAAAATAATCGCAAAAAAATTAGGGTCTCAAGAGGTCTGGCGTTGACAGTAGCATCTTTCAATGCTGAGTTAATGACGGCGCAATAGGGTTGGGACCTATCTGCATGCTCTGTATGTTTTGGTAAAATAAAAAAGCTCAGAATTTTTAATGATTTAATTTAAAATCACTTTGTTAAAAAAATGCCTAGTTAGTTCAGAAATTAATTATTTGTGGCTGAAAACAACTTGCTTCTGATTGGTCGGGCTAATCATGACGTCACATGTAGGTATATAACTGTCTGTATATTTGGCGCAGTTGAGACATACATTTTCTATGTATTTTCCTATGGTAAATCGGAGTGATTGGTCGTGTTTCCAGTGTCTCTTTATTTTGCGCTGGTATTGCGTGGCTAAGAAGTTTTATCAAGAATGGCATATACTAAAATATTCCTTTAATAATGGAGCTTCAATATCTGTGAGTTTTATTGGCAAGCGAAAACTGATTTCGCTGTTATTTTATCTGGAAATTACTCATTTTTGTAGGTCAATATTCAAAATATTTTACGGGAACAAGTTGGCACTTTTCTTGATTTTTGCACTCAAATCGCGTGCGATTCAACTGTATTGGAACTTACAAAGAATCTTGGTGATTAATTAACTGCGTTGTTATGGCACTGTTTGCAAAGCATGGATAATGAAACTCTGCCAAAGACTTAGCTACATAGCAATGCCTCAAGTAATACGCAGGAGGGACAGAATTCAGAGTCCGATCGAGAAGAATCGGTGCAAATGCTACGAAGACCAGGCAGCTCTGATACAATAGCTAGTCGTCTCACTACTCTCACTCCATTAGACCAGCTGATTCCTGACAGCGCCGACTCGGATGCAAAGATGGAGCTCATCTTCCAAGCCAGAAACCAGTTCTTTGATGGAAGATGTGATGCTGCCTCTGTCTCTGCTTTGTTGGCCACTTTGGACGGGGCGGAGCTCCGCTCCTTGCGTGAGCGGTTATTCGCCTGTCATCCAGAAATAGTTCCTTCGTTTGCTGGCCGTTCCCTGATTAGGTGCAATACGGGGAGCTGTAATCAGGGAAGTAACTTTCCATATGAAAGGGGTGCAGGTGCACCCCCGTCCCCCATCCACTAGAAGTGCACCCACATAGGCTAAGCGGCGCCCCACACGCCGCCCCACACGATTAGCTCGAGCAGATGGCGAGGGTGATTTCTCGGCTACATTCCATCTCGGCGTCGTGATGCTTGTGGGCTTGGAAAGCGTCCAGTCGTATTTAGGGTAGTGTAGGGGTAGGGTTGAGTTCAATAAGGTCCTTACATTTGAAAGTTAGTTGAACAACCCGCAATCAGCACAACATACCACAAGTTAAAACTACCAAACTCCGCCCAACTAATATTAATAAACATTACAGCCAAACTAATGGCCTAAATAAAAATATATCTCAAATCCTAACAGTTATCGCGGGTGATGGCGCCATGAGTTGCTATTATCCAAAACAGGTGCAAATAAACATGTTTGTATGTCCTATGTATGTTTGTTTTAAAAACGTTGCAGCGGCGCTGGGAACTGCAGTCTTAGATCTGGGTATGTTTGGCATCTGCAACTCTTCATATACACATTAACCCTATTTCGGACGGGGAGACCTTTCAGGATTTTCTTGTACCTACAATTGCCAAACGCCGCGAGACATTCAGCTCATATTTGGTGACTTTTCCTAAATGCTCATTGCGCACATCTCAGCAAAAAAAAAAATTGCTGGGTCAGGTCAGGTCAGGTAACCAGAGCGGGTTTGTTGACCCCACCTCAGAAAAGTTTGCAAACACGTCAGAGCTTGAGTTTTTTCACGAAGTTATTTCCTCTCATCAAGTCTTCAAAACAGTACCTGCAGTATGTGTCGTTTGTATATCTCAGAATGTTTGATCTGTGACCTGAGGTTACGTCAGAGTCGTGACCTTTACATTGCAAGCCTATGGAAAAGTATTGAAATGCGACCTGCACCTCGAGTAAACGAGTCAAAACCACCCAATTCTTTAAGAATTATGACAAATTATCTTATCTGTAATGGTCCAGGTGCCATTTACTGACAGGGACACCGGAGAGGGTTATCTGAGCCGAGATCATGTGAGGTGATATCTACCATACATCAATGCTCACAATACTTACAATATTGACAATGCTTTTGCTTACAACACGTACAATACTTACGATGAGACCAGCAAGCACTCTGCCGTTACAGTTCTAACTTCTGTTTCGAAAAACGACGTTACACACATTCGCTGCCAGCATAACATGTATTGTTTGACAGTAACAAAATACAATTGACATCTGAACCCCAAACGGACCGCCATCCACTCAAATTTTATAATCCTGACCGGTCAGGGGGCGAATGGAGGTCATTTCCTGGGCATTACACTCAGCCCTTGCACAAAATATCTCACCTCACAGTGATCATTACAACAATAGCACCGACTTGATAGTGGATTTCAAAGTACTTGCATCAGCTCTTCCTGCTACGCCTCACAGGGTAATGTTGTTCGGGACATGAACGAAGATCGTTTTCGGAGTTTCATAAGTGCTACTGCAACAGCCTGGCACAAAACAGGACTTGTACGCTGTTCTCTGCACTTTGCCCTTCAGTATATCACAAAAGAATTGTTTAGAATCCATCTTAAGCTTCTTTCACAGTCTCCCTTGCCACCGTAGGGCGTAGATAGATTGCTGTTGCTGGTAAGTTAAGGCACGGTAGATAGAAATTACCTCGGTTCTCAACGCCTTAAGTTATTTTCATAAAAAAAGAACAAATAAATGATCAATTAGATGACAGGAATGGAAACATTTTAATCGTAAAGTAGTTCAAATATTGGAATGAGCTTTTGCTTTTCAGCATCCTCCGATTCATCATCTTTATCATTTGAAAATTCGAGGTACATAAAATGTTTATCACGCGCTCATGTTAAGTGGGAATATAGTACACGGCAGACACATCAATTTTTGACACTGAACATTTCATCCGTAAATGTTTTAGCATAATTTAAAGTTAAAAACAGCGCGAATGGCAGAGTGAAGCAAACAACATCTTTCACCCATTGATATAACATGTAATCTGTGGTGCGCCAGATGCGCCATTATTTGTCAACCGCAGAAGGTGACATGTGACGTAACAGCATCAAGAGCATCTTTTTTCAAGAACTTTTCAAAACAAGTTTCCTATCTTTCTTCCCCCATTTCTCTCAGCTTATTGATTTTATGAGGCAATGGTATGCACCATAAATTCTGTGAAAATAGTTTGATCATTTTCATGCATTCTTAAAAAATCGAGTTCCCAACCCCATTCTTCGAGATAATCGATGTAATCATATGCAAGGCCTGGAGTGCATGATTTTTGTGTTACCTGCTACGGTGTCATTCCACTCGACCTCTATCCATCCTTTAATTTCTTTTTACCTCTTTTCCATCAGCCCGTGCCAGTGTCGGCGCCACTGGTTGAGCCGCCGCCCGCCGCCAGCACCCAGCCGGCTAAACCACCGCAGCAGTAAGTTCAGTTGTGGGGGCACACTGAGTAGCCTCGTAATTGCCCGATGGCACAGTTGACATCCGTTATCTTCGCGAGCTGATTCTGACGTTAGATTGGATGGCATATGTTAAATGAAAGTACAAACATTGATCGCTGTTTTCGTAGTTTGTCTTGTCACAGTAATGTTTTTAATCACCAACAGCTATCTAAATTCACATCCTCCGGACGCGAATATTCAACAGGTGCTAGTGACCACCGCTGTCTTTTTATTCGTGATCAATTCCACGATGCACTTAGTTGCATTCCACCTTTTGCTCAGTTGAATCACATGTTTGTTCGCAGTCTGGGTGGAGCGGACAGATTGGGTAGAATCCAGCTAACCCTGAAATACAACCAGGCCCGCTGCGCACTGGCCGTCGTCGTGCATAAAGTCACGTAAGTCGTGGGGGTGAGGTCTGAACTTTTTTTTTCAGAACGTCGTATGCTTTATCGTCATATGCTATAGACAACGGCACTGTTAGCACTAGTGTTTAACGCTTGAATACCTGTTAACCTGAAAGTTCGAAAATTTGTCGATGGACGTATGTATCAGGCTAAAGGTTCATTGCGATCGTAAATTGCTTCTTTCACTCTGCCGCCATCGCGAGCTACATCAAGTTACGACGATTGATAAGTTTCGCGTCTAAGGACTTCCAAACATTACCGAAACATGATTCGTCCTTTCTCAATTCTGCAGGAACCTGCCTATGCAGGGTGACGACATCCCTGACCCGTACGTCAAAACGTACTTGCTGCCAGATAGATCGGAGAAGAACAAACGCAAAACTCAGGTGAGTAATTCATGAAATGTGTCACCTGGGCATTTCAGGGTGCGGCTTTCGACTCTATCGTCAAGACCCTGATGGTTTCCAAACTGTGGCATAGCGAGCTTCCATCGCTTCCACAGAAGCATTCAAGTTTCAGCACATTAAAGATTAAAAAGAAATTTATCAGGTTGTAATTGGGATGACAACAGGAACATATCCCATCGATTGCTGCTGATCAAATGGAAATAGGGTCTTTCTCCAGTTTGTCGTGGCATAACTTGCCTTCTCGTGCTTACTGAAATTTATCGATTTGATTCATGTCTGAATATGATTCGGTCTTTTTTCGTGACCTCGCCTGTTTCAGAAATTCAAGGACAACTGCAATCCCGTGTATGAGGAGACCCTGGAGTATGAGGGAAAACTGCACGAGCTCCTGCGCACCCTGGAGGTGCAGGTTGTCAGCAAGAAGACGTTCGCCCCCAACCAGATCCTTGGCATGGTGAGATTAAACGACCGCCGACTTTTACAACACGATGTGCGTCACAAGACGAGAAATCGTAACAGTAAATCGGGTTCCATGAGATCACTGCCGTTTTATCCGCATTTGTATGCGCATAGTACGTGAGATTAAAACGGTGGATGAATGTTCACTGCCGACGCGAATATTCGCCCTTATCTTCTTGTCGGCCGTCTTTTGGATAATGCGTTTGGATTTTTTGCATGCCTCACTGACGCTTTCTAAATCCATGTGCGTACTCTGATGACAGCATTCTTGTCGCGGAACTTGTAACCAATTGATAAAATCGTTTATCTGCAAAATCTGCGGCCTTTTATCGCATTGATCAACTGAATTTTCAGAAACATATTGACCTGAAGTCCTTCGACCTGGAAAACGGGATGACTCTCTGGTTTGACCTGGAGCCTGAAGACAGGTTCGACGAGTAAGTTTACCGATTATATGTAACAGCATCGGGCATGAGTTTCATTTAGATGGGGATGTTGTGTGCTAGCATAAATATATGCTTGACTGTCATGTATGCTGCAGTACATATGTCGCAAGTACCTGATTTCGCGCGTTTGTATCCACTTTTCTATTATCGTTACTTTCCTTCTAAGTTCATGTTCAGTTGAACGATAAGCGAACCATTTCAAGCCTCGTGTCTCCGTGCTCCCCAGATCGGAGGCCAAGCCGTCCACCCCTGCCTACGACCCGTACAGTCGTCCCCCGGCGGCCGCCGCTCCGCCAACGGTCGCGGAGCAGCCCCAACAGAAACCACTGACGCCCCAGGTGAGACGAACAGAGCGGCCCCAACAGGAACCACTGACGCCCCAGGTGAGACGAACAGAGCGGCCCCAATAGGAACCACTGACGTCCCAGGTGAGACGAGCCACTCTTAATAGATGACTTATGGATGTCATGGAGGGTCATGTCCTGCCACCACGCAGTCATTATCTCTGATGTTAGTAATGTTAGGACGGAGTTTGTTATATCGTTTAGAGCTGTGTCATGGGCTGGGTTCAGACATTAAACAAACGCACCCCATAACACTGCTAACGCAGCTCAGCTCCATAGGTTAACGCCACCTCTCCCTCTATGAATGTCTCTGACACCGTTCTGCCCACATGCCGTCCCTCAGGAGAGTGCGGTGCAGAGCCTGATCCAGGACCTGCTGCCGGAGGATGTTCCCGTGCGTGAGGATCCCCCGGGACAGGCTGCTGCGCCGAGCCAGCCACCGCCGCAGTAAGTGACACAGCGTGTCTGGGGCTACACCTGAGCTCTGTTCGCACCCCGTTTATTTATCAGCAGGCTGCGACCGTGCTGCTGCTTCTTGGCTCCTCATTGGTCGAATTCAAGTGGTCTATTTGTTAGACCAATGAGAGGCCAAGCCACGCAGGAATAACTTCCTTATATGGGGAAAGCCGACAGCACGCTGATATAAAAACAGCGACCGAACAGGGCCCTGGTTACTGGTTACTCACGGCCACCTCTGTTCGATCTTATTGCCTTTCTGTGCGAGATAATGAGTTTTTTCTTCTCAGATGTCCAGTTGTTTAGTAAATAAATAATTATTGGCTTCTACACGACGATCAGAATATTTTGATACATCATACGTAAATAATGATGCTGCTGACCCCATATTGTTACCTGATATGTCCATCACTATGTCCATCTTTTTAGTCTGTGTGACGTGCTCATCTGAGTATGTTGCATCTACTGTCTATCATGTGTCATCCATCTACAGTGACGTTTCCATCACCTATCACATGTGTCTCGTCCTCAGCCCGGCCGGCGCGGACCGTCTGGGCAGAATTGAGCTCACCCTCCGCTACAGTCACATGAAGGACGCACTAGAGGTCACCGTGCACAGAGTCGCGTGAGTGCCTATATATGATGGAAGCAGACACGAGTATTGCCTCTGTGTGTGTGTGCTACAACTATACCTTAAAGTGTCGGATTTCAGAAAATCTAACATACTTTAGACCGTACAGGCGACCTATGTGTGATTTGTTAACGGTGACTGAATAGACGGCCGGGGGACGACGTGGTGAAGTGTTCGGAAATGCGCCCGTGATCAGTGGCCAGTTTGTGTTTCTAACATATACCCATTTACCCACTTCTCCAGGAATCTGCCCGTGCAGGGTGACGACATCCCTGATCCTTACGTCAAGACCTATCTGTTACCGGATAAATCGGAGAGCAACAAACGAAAAACGGAGGTAAAGTTTAACCATGGACATTGGACAATGGAAATTGAATACGAAGCACAATAAATTGCATCCAATGAGTGTTGTTCAATTGTTCCAAATTTAGCCTTTAGTCATGGACATTGAGGCATTATTTTTTAATTAATATGCTTAATTGATAGCATGTGTAACGATTTGTCGCTTTCGTTTAGCATCACAGTCGAATGGCACAGTGATTTTGTTCTCAGTGGTCAGAAACTGATAGAGCTGAACTGACCCAGTGAATATATTCATTGACGTTTTTTTCCACTTCACAGAAATTCAAGGACGAGTGTAATCCCGTTTACGAAGAGACGTTCGAATACAAGGGGAAACAGAGTGATGTCGGCAGTCGCACTCTCGAGGTTCAGGTGGTCAGCAAGAAAACATTCGGCTGGAACCCAGTCCTCGGCATGGTAAGGCGACTTTTGTGCACGAAGTCATCATTAATATTCACTTGTTCAGTGTATTGCACATTAATTTCGCAGTTCGTTTGCTGGCGAGCAATATTATGCATCCAGCAGTTATAGCAGGACGTTGTTATTAATTGATAAATCGTGCAAAGCTAGACGGTAGACAATGGTGCAGAAGTGGGGCGTTAAATGACATTTGCATAACAGCTCTTCGACATGCCGCTCGGCGCTCATTCGAAATAGTGAATGCATGAGTATCATTATGAGTAGCTAGCAACCGGTCGTTTGCGACATCAAATGATTTATTATTCAAGTCACGATAAATGAGTTGAATTATATGTTGTTACAGTCCCTTATTCGGGAACCGTAACAGTAATAGGAGCGAAGCCGCGTTTACTGCCACACTGCTAACCAGGCGGTGGCAGCAGTTAATACCCAAGAAGATGCAGCAACTACTTTTGTATGCTTATTATTGTAGGATTTTAATACTCTCTGCTGTAATTGTCCTCCTTTCTCCCCCAGAAACACATTGACCTGCGCGGAGTGAACCTGGAGGCGGGAACCACCGATTGGTTCGACCTGGAGCCAGAGGAGCGGTTCGACTCGTAAGCGACACGCTCCTCTCCGAGCTGCAGTTCTTTAACCACCGACTGAATTCCCTTATTCACCGCCGTCGGCAGGCGGGGAGAACCGCGCCCTGTTCGGCTGATTAGTGCTTTATCTGTCCGTCACAAGCGTGTAGGCTGTGCTGTGGACTGAGGAGTCTGGTCCCTCACTATCTTGGTTGGACGTTGGTTTTTTAACTCTGCTGCTTTTCTCCTGGTTGGCTTGTGTGCGCGCGATGTGACTTTTGTTGGTTCTGTTGTCAGAGTAATGTCAAAGGTCGCAGAAACAGAGGTCGATCTGTTTTGCTCCCTTTGCTTTGAAGGCAGGGGTCAGCTGAGCAGCAGCCCAGATATCCCTTCTTGGGTCCCTAACGGTCCTGTTTCTCTCATGGTGGCAGTTTTCTGGATACGACTGATACACATCAGGGTGATAATTCTGGCTGTCCGTACCGAGTCACTGGTTGTTAGTTGTTACTGAATAATGCTGTCTGTGATCCTGGTTGTTGCAAACGATGTTACGAAGCAATATCATGTGCTTGGACAGTAATTTAACCGATGCATCATATACATGCAATGCATTCTGTTGGCTATTGCTATTGCTGTTGCCCTGGGATGTTTGCTCCTCTTACGATGATGGAGTTTGTCTCACTTCTCTTGAATCTACTTACCTTATCAGTGACATAATGGCATTCGCGTTGCCATAGTTATGGTCTATACTAGTCTGAGATGGAGCGGCACGTCGTTGCTACCGCTCTGCTATGTGGTGTGTTCGGACTGAATGGTGGACAGATCTGTATGGAAGAGGCCAACCAGACTCTCTGCTTGGGTTTGCTGTCAACTAATAGACTTGTAATGTTCCTTGCTTTGTCATAATATATTTAGCCTTGTCAATATTTGTTTAGCTCGATTCATTTGAGGGGGTCTTAGCAGCATTAAAAGGTAGTGTTTGTTCACCATAGTTTCCTTGAGTCTGCCTGACTACATCGGGCATGAGGCTAGCATGCATCACGTCTGTGTATATTGAGCTGGTCATATATCAGCCGTGTGCCCTCCACCGCACCTGTGAGGGTTCCATAGACGGACTGTGGTGACCGTGATACAATCAGCAGTGACGACTGACGCGATATGACAGGCGCTGACAGGGATCTGATAATACACAGACGCTGATGCTACTCCGTACAGGCACCATGGGCCGCCCGTCGTGACCCCGCAGTTGTGTTAGAGCAGTGGTGCTTCACAGAGTATCGATATTTCGTACTATCCCCGCTTATGTTTGGTTAATTTGAGCGAGATAAACGGCTTAAAATATTTGATCAGTCATATATTGACATCTGATAACGAACATAACAACCTTCGTAAATGCTGCCTTGCATGGGAGTAGTGAACCAGTTCAATTAAACCTATTTCAAAGAGGCAGCCTGCTTCATCTGAAGAGTCTTTGCTATTACCTTCTCGAATGACGAACGATTTAAATGAAATACAAGCGTGCATCGATAGGATAATATCTCTTCATAATATCTGCCCACTTTAAAAATTGTGACTATAAACTCAGTACCCAAAGACGGCTCTGATCTCTGCGGCGATCAATACTAAAGCGACTTTATAAATAGTTATTTTTTTGCGTTATAGACATGCATATCAGCACAAGAACGAAGTAGGTAGTGTTAGCAACTGTTTTTTTATAGGCAAGGCACAGTTGATGACACACTGAGTATAGAATAATAGAACATGCCTTCCGACTAGTATCCAGGCACTATATATTATAATATTGTCACATATATCTTGAATCTGGATACACACGCCTGTTGCCCAATGCTTCCTTTACAGACGCCCAGACCACGGGCCCAGAATATAAATGGCACCTGTTACAAACTATACGAAATAAAATATACGACTGTAAAGACATAGTGTTCATGCAAGACGCCACTTGCAACGTAAACGTTGAGAGGCAACACATTTTGCCTATGTTAGGGTATTGCCCATACCCTTTTGGGTGAGATGAGCCCTTACACCGAAAAAAAAAACAATAAATTCAACAATGGCACTTTTCCGGTGCCTTGACCTTTTTATACGGAACGAGCTGCCTTAATTAACATCAGATTAAAGAAAGCCGGTTTGGATAATCATTTGTGTCACACCCGGGAACGGTCGTCTTTCCATCTCTGCTGTTCTCGCGGTCCAGTAGACCACTGTTGCTTAGCTGACGGTGGTCCCCGTGGCCAGGGCGTGGCGCTGCTTGTTCTCCAGACTTCTCAGGGCCCTCTGTTTCCTCCGCGCTTCCAGCTTGGCCTGTGTGCAGGACGGTCAGCGGTCAGGTCAAAGGTTTTGTAACAAATACACGCAAAGCTTGTCCTCTATGCATCGCGCGCAGAGGTCGGATCGCGAGTTAGGTCAGAGGTCAGATCAAAGCCAGGAAAGTTGATCACCATGATGTAGGTACTTCTCGGTACTGAGCTTATCTTATAAAACGTGATTAATTTTCAGGAAAAATTTTCGACGGTAAATTCTCACACCCCAATAAGTATGTATAAGGTAATCATGCGGCACAGATATTCAAAAATTATTCATGAGTAGGTGTTCCTGAGTGTGAGCTTTAAATGTGCCTTGCCTATATTTCACATTATTCGGAACCCTGCACCTCTGGCGACTGACCTGAAGATCTCCCCGTGTTCTGGCGGCCTGTCGGTCCTGCTCACGCAGGAACACGCTCATCTCCGTCTCGTGCTTCTCCCTCATGTTGTCAAGCTCCTCTGTGAACAGAACAGCCAGGCATCTGTCTTACGACTCGTAAAGGATGCTTCCTTAATCTTTGCATATGGGGCTTCGCATAAGCGTAGGAACCATAGGTGCAGTGAGTGCAGCTGCATCCACTATCATTTCCCAGTTATAGGTGCAGGCAATGCACCGGCACAATTACCTGGAACAAAAAACCCTTTTCGCATCAACACTAGGTACCTCGAACCTCCCATTAATCCCATGCGCAGTGCGACGAATTCAGGATATTTTGTACTCTACTCCAATACCCATACGAGTAGGTATTTTGAAGCATTTGATACTCTGGTGGTCTTCAATATTTGTATTTGTGCTCAGGTGGAAGAAACCGGAGCGAGCACATGTGATGGAACACTATACCGGTGAACCACTCTTAAGTTTTAACCCGATACCTTCAAAAATGGCCAAGCTGGCTTCTTTTACATCCGGTGCCGCTCCCTAACCCTCCCCCCTCGCTTCCCGCGGCTATGCAGCTGGATTTCTAAACCCATGCACCCACAATAGTCCAGCCGTTCCTACGCGACGCCCATGGGGCGTCGAACAAGTTAATTAGTATGCATTGAAAACGGGTTTCTTATTTTATGCTAACGGATAGTGGTCATCACTCGTAACGGTAATGCCACCAATAAGCGACCTCACAAAGCTGTGTTCTGCGTCGTATTACCAGCGATTTATGCCGTGGTAACTGTTCTCTGTTCCGCGACTTGCGCAGTCATCACAGCTTTTCCGCATCCGTCTCCGACAGACTTGGATAGGACAGGGATGTGAGATCATCTGTATCTTCTTAGATGTAACGCCTAACGGTGCTAACGTCAAAGCGCACCGTTCCGGGTGGGGCGCCTTATCCCACCATCCTCCATCCTGCACACATCGCTTTTTACGAATAGATCCAACGACACTCAGCAAAGAGAAAATCTAATGTGGCATTACTTATGTCGAATCAAGTTCATGCTATTCAAGTATCAGTCCTATCTCAAGACGGAGCGATTCATAAGGCGACAGAATAATGTCCAAGTCGTAATTATCATCGATAGTCGATACCTTCTGTTTGTCTACGTATAATACGAGTATCCAGATCATCAGTACCGTGATTTGTCTTTGGTAAGGCGACAGGAAGATTTTTACTGTTCCTGATATGCACCATAATCGTCCAGACATTTTTGCAGAAAACAGGGTTTGGTTTTTATGAAGCATTGATTCTTGGTCTGGCATTAAAGGAACGGTTACAAACTTGCGTTTCAAAAGTTGAATTGTGCCTTGGTATCATATGCATGCATGTTCGATTCGCCGTTTAGGAATGAACCGTGAAACCTGGTCAAACCAACTGCCTATCGATGCCATCAAAGCTAACGCCTCTTGTTTTGCATTGTTCTGGGTTTTGCTCTATATACGAATTCAGAGGTGTAAATGAGGCGCCGTGTTAGGTTCAATATTTGCGAGGACGCGTCGAATCAAAAACTTAGTTACTGAAATATGTGGTTATTGATTAAAATTTAGTGATTTCTACTGATGAAACACTCACGTTTAAACTCCTCGTAGGACTTGCCGAATATTTCCTCGCTGGTTGGCATTTGACCGATGTCGATGTCGTCCAGGCCCATGTACTCGTCATTCTGCAAACGATAAAAGCAGCAATCGTCAGATTTAGGACACCGAACTAATCATGGAGGTAGTTAATATGAATAGTTTAGGTAGGAAGACATCGTTTTATCCTCTTGTATGGCTGTCACGTTCTCACACCTAAAACACGCACACAAATGATCTGTGCAGGAAATAGGAATCATTTTAGTGCAATGCGTAAAAACTTAGAATGTGCGTATTAGGGGTTAAGAAACGGCAAAAATATATTTGATTTGTTACATCATTATTCTGTTATCTCCACTGTGACGCCAGCAGTAGTATGGAGATCAGCCCAAGAGCCGTCTGGATAGCTGCGCTCTCGATAAATGTCAGCCCGACGCCCACACCCGTGGCTGGCATGCATGGCACGCATGGCTGCCGGCACCGTTTGAGCACAAAGGGTCAGTCGTCAAGGCCTCGTGTACTAAGAGCACGCATGCTTAGAGAGGCTCTTACACGCATGCCACGGTAATCTAAATCCGTTACTATCCTCGTGGAGGTCGCGTCCTCCACTATGCAGACTTTATGCACGAATGATTCTGATTCTGTTAAGTGACATGTTGTCTTTTAGGGGTGACATCATGATTCATTTTCATCGCTGGAGTTTATCTTCTTTTGTGCGTGGAATGGGCGATCACGTTTTATTTTGTTTCATTGGACAAGCACATGTGTTAGATAGATCATCTCGCTTATGACCTTGATCCGCCACGGCGTGCAGCCATATTCATATGTCATGTAGGATACTGAATATACTGTACTAGCTTGTAACGGCAATGCACGTCGCTGGTTTTCTATGATGTATGGCGCTTAACATTCCTCTAACGCTCAGACAGGTAGCATTCAAGCTCAATAAAAATTGCATGACAGCTTAGCTTAGGTATATCACTTTCGATTGTACTCATATGTAGATAATATATCTCTAGCAATCCCATAATCGTTCTTTTTGCCCGTTTGTCAATAAATGCTTGAAAAGGCAACATTTCGCACTATCTTCGCCTCAGTAAATTTATACTGCCAACGATGGGCGAAAAGGCGCCACTTTAAAACATTTCAAATGATATTTGTTGAACAAGAGTATGCATCACCGCCCTATGGGCGAGGCAGGCCGAGGCATGAAGTGCAATGCGGTGACATTCGACGATCGATGCACCATTCACGAAGGGCAATAATGCACTTCAACAACCGGTGGCGCATTCTGAGGCCTACATGACCCAAGAGACTTCGTTTGCAGCGTTTGAAGGCCCTGGGTGTAGTGGTGCTAGCTGTGGCCGTTACTTTTGCGAATTGACGTATGTGACAACCCTAATGGCCGTCTCAATTCCCTCAAGTGGCGCTGTTCAACACGTTCAGTGTATCGCTCAGGACGTTCAGCGTGCTTACCAGCTGCTCGAGGTCCTTGTCGCTGACGTCGGTGATGCTGTTCAGGTCGACGGCAATGTGCTGCTCGTCGGGGGTCTTGTCCTCTTCGATCTCGATCTCGACGTCGTCACCCCAGATCTCGTGCACCTGGGAAGAGGGAGGTGAACGGACGGTCACATCGGTAGGAGTTACAATTCACGGGAGCCGTCGAGACAGCTTCCTGGATTTGCCTAGCGACATGGCTTTGAACGTGAGCTTATTCAGTAAACGTTTCAATCAAAAGCTAATAATGACGTGATTGGTCCCTTTATTGGCTTTATTTTTTAAGCATGTGCGCTCATTGGTGCAACACATTTTTTAATCTTCTTTCTTGACCACAAATTGTTTCCGTCTCTGACTCTGGACACTGCGTCTAATTGATACTTATTTATCCAAACACGTTCAATGTTCCTAGGTGACGTCCGCGGGGAAAAGGAAAATCATTAGTATTGATGCCCGTTTAATAGCGCGCGTGTCTAATTGTCAGCGGGTCCTGCTGCCGGCCGGCTTGTTCATTTGCGACTGCCGACCGGTATTTGTAGCACGGTCGTTCATGTTTGATGGCGTGGCAAAACGATGGCCGTGGGGCGGCAAGGTCGGGTGCGGCGGCGCACTTCACTGTCGGCCTCTTTGTGCACAGCTGTGCACGGCTGCGCACGCGACACGGGCCGCCCTCGTGGTCCATGCATGGCGGTGATTAACGTGCGTACAACGTGTGTCGAATAAAGTTAGCATGAGTTACACTTACACTTTTTAACTCGTCTTAAATTGCTTGGTTTGTAATATCGAAAGAAATTTACTTTTCAAAGTTCGTCCTCCTTGGTTACTTTTGATGAACGCCACTACCCAATAGGTGTAGATGCCCAGTTTGGATTGAATGCTACGAGCATGATGCAGCTGCTTGGCGTAATAACATATTCATCTGAGTAAGATTTAAATTGAGCCATATTTTCTTTCTAGCAGCTTGTATTATGCACTGCTGTATTAGTCGTCCCCTAAATAATGAGTAAAAGCCGTGCTCACAACGGTTTTCTGACACACATTTGGTCAAATTTGATGCGATTTGGTCAAATTAGCTTCAAAGTTGACTTTGAGTAGTTTTCAGCTTGGGATGTACTGGTTGTTTATATACCTTATTTATCAAATTATTAGATATTGTTTTCATTTAAAACATTGAAATAGCTTCGTGGTATGACAATATTTGCTGTAAAAGAGAGTTGGTTAGATTTAGTCAAGTTTGGTGCATTCGCCACACAGCCCGTCGTGAAAACGGCCAATATTGTCTATCCTCAGGCCGTTCTCACGTTGTCGCTGAACGCCTTTATTGTAAATGTCGTGCTGCGTGCTATCGCGCGGAGCATTGTGTCGCAGTTCGATGCTATTTACGCATATTCAATGCATACGCGCCACTACGCAATACATATCCGCCTTCGTCATCGACTGTGTCACATTATGGGCATGCCAAGGGTATATTTTTGGTTACAAAGCTGGGCATAAGCCGCGATAAATGGTAATCCAACTATCACACTGTGGAATTCAACGTGAACTAAACAATAACACTAAGCACCTTTTTCATTCAGAGAATCTCACATAGGTAGGTAATTCTCAGAATATTGAATGACCAACAGCCCTTGACCCAGTTCTACGCGTCATGTTGATGTATGTAGGTATGTGCAAAAGCCACGTGTGAGTGAACATGTTTGATGTGTATCAACACGCTAAAATCACCCTCATCTGAAAAAGGAGAGCAATTAGCGCTCCTCTGAGACATTTATAATTGTCGTGTGTGTGTGAAAGAAAGTGAAAGGAGGAAACAGACCTTATCTGCGTGCAAAATGCGTGCGACGAGAACTTAGTTTGCTCAACTTTGATGCAAGTGACATATGTCACGTTTGCCCGGATACCTACATTCAGACTTAACTACGCACAGAATCGACCACTTTTTGTGCTTTTCATTCACCTGTATCTGCCTCTTCTATTATCAACAGAGCGCGGCGTATCCATGGAATTTCCATGTTTTCCTAATTCGGCCACCCAGCAATAACATCACCGCAATCCATGTGATTTGCTCAGCTTTTCACGGTTTATGCACTGCGACCATCCCAGCACCGCTCGGTGTTTGCAGCGCCGCGTGACGTACCTTCTGCTTGATGAGACGGATGCGCTCCTCCTTCAGAGCCTGGGTGGTCAGGCGCACCCGCCGGTTGATGGCGTTCAGGTCCTGCATGATGGTGGTGTTGAGCACCTGGAGATAAAACACAGATGAAGCTCCTAACCGGAACGGTAGCTAGTCTCCGTCTCTCGCTGAACTTATGGGAAGCGAGCATAACTAGTTCGCCATAAACGACAGAGACGGAACGAGCCTGACGAAACGTCTGATGGTGGTAAGACGATCGGATGGAATCGTTCCGCCGCTCGGCAGGCGGTGGACGGGTGTCATTTGTAGAGGATCAAACTAGCGGCAGTCGAGGTAAGCAGGATGGGGCAATAGCCAGTTACGTGGAAAGCATGAATGGCTGTGCTGCTTGGCAAAGTTTTAAGAACAGGATGAACGAGAAGAATCCTGGTTGGCGCTCAGTGGGTGAGCTGTGAGTCCCAGCTGATCGGCTCTTTTGATGACCATCGCGTCCTAGTCTGTGCCACAGAGCGGATGACGGCCCGCCCCCATCACGGAGCTCCTCGGATCACGGGGAGCTAACCGGGGTGGAGCCGGTGGGTCGTGACGCGCCTTCACGGCTCGCCGAGATAAGGGCCAAACAGTGAGGCAGCCACAGGACTAATTAGGATCTAATTTTATCTGGGAATAATACGGCGTGTTTTCTGTCAGACTGCTAAAGGAAAAACCATGCGAGCAGTGCCGCATGAGCATCCCGGTTTTTATCGTCTTGTGGAGTCAAGCCGGCGAATTTCTTGTGAGTGCACGGCTACACTAAGGCAGGGCGTTGCAGAAGGTGTGCCCCATTATTTATAGTGTTAGCCCGCCGGCACGACATGCGGTAAAACAGTGGACACTGCCACGGTACATTGCGGTCTGCAGCTGCTTTGCATTTTTCAGCGGTTCCATTAATTGTTATCGATTGATGTCCGGAACGGAGCCGTGGAGGTCACCTCATAGAGGATGGACAAGTACGGAAAGGTGTGCTGCCGAATAGTAAAAATGTAGTGCGTATTAAGTTAACCCGCGCACCGACGGGGGGGGGGCGGATATCCGCCCCCCCTGAGGTTTTTCGCGGATAGCGCGCCGCGAAATTTGGTACGACTATTCTCTCATCAATTTTACACATGGTGTGCAAGTTTGAACCTCCTAACTTTTAAGGTCAGCCGTCAGGTCACCAGGTCACTTTGAATGACCCAACCTCAAGTCACTTTTTTGCAACTTTGTCACCGTGCCAGAGCTACAGTAGATGTTGGAGGCCTTTGAAAGTCGCAGGATGTTATTAGGTCATTAGTAGCTACAATTTGTATATCTCGGAATTTTGATGTCGGTGACCTAAGGTCAGGTCAATTTCGCGACCTCCCCATTATAAGTCAATGGGGGAAAAATCAACTCCCTGTTTTTACCACTAAAACGGGTCGGAATGGCCCCATATACCATACATGACTCCATATACGATCAACCTTCACTACCTTGAGGTCTGTTTTGCTGTTGGGCAGCTGTAAGGTCATGTGACGTCATCAAAGGTCACCAGCGGTTTTTTGCCAATAACTCCGTACAGGAACAAGATACAGCCGCGCGGATGGTCTCATTGTGTTCAGCTCGTCAAGACGCATCGAATGATATACATGATGACCTCGAGGTCACGTGACCTGAGGTCAACCTTTGACCTTGACCTTTCGAGGTCAACATATATATCATTCGATGCGGATTGACGAGAGGATCACGATGATCCCCTTAGTTTGTTCCTATCTTGACTAATTCAAAAGTTATTCGAGAAAAACTCTCTCCATATCTAGCGCCGCCATTTTGATTTTTTCGACCCCTGTGACGTCATCTTTGACCTGACCTGAAAATGACCTTAGTAAAAAATTGTAGACCTTGTCCGTGCGTATCCGACGCCGTTTACCGCTTGTCGCTATCTTGCTTCGTTGAGATCCCCCCCCCCCCCGCCGGTGAGAAGTTGGCGCAGACCCCCGCCGGTGCGCGGGTTAAATTACACGCAGTTTGAAAAAAAGAAACAAAGTAATTTTCAGACATCAACATGTCAACAAGTGATTTTCTTTTATTAATTACATATGCCTTAAGTAAAAAAGTGAAGATAATTGAGTGGACTCTACCTGGGTTAAGTGAAAAAAAATGAAGCCATTTTTATTATTTTAAGCCGGCGAAATTTACGTGAATTACCAGAACACCCACATGATTGAAATATAAAAAAAAACAGTCGTACCTGTTCGAACCAGCGCAGCAGTGAGGAGGCCTTGTCGTGGTTCTGCTGCAGCTGTTTTTTGGCCTCCTCCGGGTCGTCGCTCTGGGGCGCCTCGAACACCCGCTCGATCTCCTGTGCACGGGAGTCCATGTGGTCACAGCACCGCGTGGTCACTATACTTAATTAGATCATAAGTAGTACATCATAAGTCACTACATAATTACATAGATAGCCGGTCCCGTAGCTCAGTTGTTAGAGCGTTGGACTCCGCGTAGTGAGAGCACGCGTTCCCGGTTATAACAGTCCTGGTTCGAAGCGCGACAGGCGTTTGACATTTATGGGCCTCCTGACAGGTATGGTTGCGGTTGGTGGCAGGCCGTAGCCAGGCGAAGTCAGTGAGGGGACCGGCCGTGCGCGGCTATGTGCGCACGTTGAACTTTGGACTCTAAATTCTGCCATAGAACTGGAATTGCGCGATCAGAGCTGGTAGAGGGCAGGGTCACCGCAACAAGCTTCGCTTAGCGGTGGCTCTGTCCTTGTGAATCCTTCCTATCAAAAGGTTCGGACTAAATTTATAAAAAAAAGTTGAAGTTAAGGTCACCGATGTCATCGAGGGTGCTGTTGAAATTAATCGTTGCGATACCTGTTTGATGTTTTCGTCAGTCATGATGGAGTTGAAAGCCGATTTATTACTTATCATAACTAATACTGTCGTCAAAATGTCAGGATAACTCCATTCATAACAGCAGGCATTATTTCATTAATATTCATTATCAATCTGCTTTGATGATTATAGTGTCAACTGTCTATATTTCTACAGGTCTAAGCCATTGGCTATCAGTGCACTGTTAACAGATGGCGGTCTCTTTGAAAGGGCTGAGACTATAGAACCAAGCTCTGACGTACTCCTCCTCCCTAAGACTTGGTCCATCTTCTGTCACGTGTCGGATGGAGGGCGGAGCCCCGCTCAGTGTGGCACCCACCCCCATCCTGTTCCCTCACCACTCCACCGTCCTTTGCCACACCCACCCGACATGGGGCATTATCGAGAAACACAGCTGGGCAGTGTTAGTAGGCGGCGAGACGCTTGCAGCCATACCGGCAGAGACGTCCACAGCTGAACTATAGCTCTGACGCCAACACATGGACTTGAGACAGACCCATAAAGCTAAGACACACGTTGACATCTGGATCAGCGTGACGCGTATGAGTTGGACTGAATGAGGTGCCAACAGCTGAACCAGCTGAGACGGACGCCTACTCAGATAGAGACGCCCGCAGCTGAGACACCCACGCCCCACAGTCGCGTTGGCTGGACTTTTTCACACGCTAAAAGCTCGCCAGCCGGGCGGTCTCCACCGCCGTCACCGTTCACAAAGGAGCCATGTCGAACGAAACGGCTCAATACCGAGCGGTCGTGGCGTGCCGTGCCGCCGGCCGTACAATGGCGCTGGAAATGGCGAGGGTTTGGACACAGTGCAAGGGCGGGCGAGACGTCATGGTTTTGGAAGAGGCGGGTGACATTGTAAGACTAAATAAAATGACGACAGTGGATTGGTAAGGTATAGTGGAACATGGAGCGGTCTAAGCGTTTGCTTACCTAACAACCTCTTTCAGGCGCCCATGCATCCTTCTAACATATTATATACATTATGTAAGGTGCTGCTGACATGGCCACTCTACCCAGCCTAACAGCTCAATAATCAGGGAAACAGAGTGGCCAATAAAAAGTCACCTGAGGTAACAGCTGAGCGGTTCTTTGTCAGCAGTATCCAGTATCCACGCCTCAGCCAGTGGGTACCCGGTACTCACCCTGTTGATGTCAGCAGGATCCACGCCTCAGTCAATACTCACCCTGTGGATGTCAGCAGGATCCACGCTTCAGTCGGTACTCACCGTGTTGATGTCAACAAGATCCACGCCTCAGTCGGTGCTCACCCTGTTGATGTCAGCAGGATTCACGCCGTCGGCACGCGTCATGTCAAAGGCCCCGGGGTTGGCTGCCAGCAGACTCTTCCGCGCCGAGGCCGGCATCGTGTAGCGTATCTCGAGCTCGCTGTAAGAACGCATGCGTTTACTTGGTAGGGCTGTGCTTGGAGGCTTGTGGCACGCTAGTTAGTAGTGTTGTTTGCCTGATGATAATCGACTGATAAACGAATCGCTCAGGAATGATTGACATTTTTAATTTCTCTTACACGTATATCTAACCTAGAAAATATTCTAAGCAAGTCTCGATAAAAGCTAGGCACCTTTCAACCATTGATAGATATTGCTATAATGAGGATAACGATAAGCTCGCTCCACCTCTGAAGCCATCTCTGAAGCCTACGAGCATGCTGCGCATCTTCGCAAACATAGTACCGGTGCCCGTCTTTACATTTTAAAGCAAAACACCTCCTCAACGTGACAATGAATGGCTAAAGCTCCGTTTTTAAGGTGTGCCCTCTAGCCCGATTCTGACAGCCTCGAATAAACACACTACGACCGATTAGAAGATACCAGAGCGGTCTGGAGTTTATGCATGTTATAGGGGCTAATCGCCACCACCTGCTGACATTTAACGACTGCAGGGCGTTTAGCGAAAAACGACAGAGTGCCACGGGACCGAGGCGCATAGCACAATGGATTTGTGGCGTTCTCAGGCTTTGCGGGCCACGGTTTGTTTCTTATCTGTCATCTTAGGATTGGCGTAGCGGTGCCTTGCTCTCTTATCATTCGCGAGAGGAACGCAAGCTGATTCGGGTGATACGGGCGCAAAGCCGGCGCCGCACTATCTCGTTCAATTCTATGCGTGCGCAGTTCAGTGTCGGGATGCAATGTCTGAACGGGTCCGGTGTTTTATGCCCGATAGAGACCATTTATCAGGTGCGGTAAATGTGACACTCTGAGGGGAGGGGGCGTCTGTCCGTCCTGCCGTTGGTTAATCCGGTGCACACGCCCCATCTCGACTGGGCCCGGCCGCGGCTTTCCTCTGGCCGGCTTAGCTCTCCCCGGCGCGGCTGTCGGTGCCGGGCAGCGAATGACGAGTCAGGCGCGTCACTCACACTCACACTCACACCACTTACATTGTGGGGATGTCGGGCAGGTCCTGCCACTTCTGAACGGCCACCGCCAGCTGACGGCAGGCGTACTCCATCATCATCTGGGCCTGGCGCCACTGAAATCGAACAGACCCGTCAGCGCCCGTATTTCAGCCTGACACTACTGAAATCGAACAGACCCGTCAGCGCCGTATTTCAGCCTGACACTACTGAAATAGAACAGACCCGTCAGCGCCGTATTTCAGCCTGACACTACTGAAATCGAACAGAGCCGTCAGCGTCGTATTTCAGCCTGACACTACTGAAATAGAACAGACCCGTCAGCGCCGTATTTCAGCCTGACACTACTGAAATAGAGCAGACCCCGTCAGCACCCGTATTTCAGCCTGACGCCACTGAAATCGAACAGACCCGTCAGCGTCCGTATCTGCGTCTGACATTACTGAAATCGAACAGACCCGTCAGCGCCGAGCTGGAACAACTACAGAGGCGGTAGCGATGTCTCTGGTATGGTGTGTGGTGGACTGTCAACCTTGACCACAAGCCCAAAGAAAAGGACGAGGAACATTTTTTTTTTTTGACAGATGGGCTATTATGCATTCATACCGTGTGCATTCATAGACCATGAGAGCCTTTTGCTCATATACTTAAATACGCCCTTATATATACGCCCCTAAGTAAATAAAACTCATTAGTGCAGCAGCGTCGGCTTGAACATATTCTCAGCAGATTTGATGCATGGCAGGCTAAAGTAAGTACTAATTCCACCACCCACCACCCATTATCGGATAAGCGTACGTCACACCTCCCTTCTCAGCCCACATAAACTGCCCAAATTTGGCACCGAAGTCACCCGCAACACGACGGAGCCTCTAATGAATGACAGACAGAGCGGTGTCGCTCGCAGATGTGTCCCCTCCCCCCGCAGTGAGGTGTTGGCGACGAGTACCTCAGAGCAGGCGGCTGGCGGAGCGCGGCGCTCAGTATATCTCCCCATCTGGAGCCCGTCGTGCGAGGCGCTGACGTCTCGCCGCTCGGGCATGTCGCGGAATTTGGCTCTGAAATCCCCACAGTCATCTGCTCTTTGGCTGCCCGCATCGTGTGCTCTGGGGCGGAAAGTCTGGGGTTGGCGCGGGAGGAACATGCAGAGAAAGTGGGCGCAGTGGCTGACCTTGAAGTTGGCCTCCATGATGCGCGCCCGCTGAGCCTCCAGCATGTCCAGCTCCTGCTCCAGTTCACTCTCGCGCCGGCTGCCGTAGCCGCCGCCGAAGATCTTGGCTGAAAATGAGCCGGGTCGACACTGAAACAGCTGCCTTGGCCAGGATTTGGGCTGTTGACAGGCACAAGGTCCTGGATTTCCATGGCGATAAGATGATAGCAACCGTACTTAAGTGCTACACTCCCCAACAGTTACATAACACAGTCACATAGTGTAGGTATGTATCAGACGTCTGCGCAAAAACATACGTGGTGCACTCCAGAAGTTTTGAGACTTTTTCAGTAGAGACAGTTGTCTGTTTCAGAGAAGCATGAAACTTGTATGACTCTCAAAATGGAACCTCCCGAGTCCAATGCACCTGCTTTAGCGCTCCTGTCACTGCCTGAAGGCCTGCTGATAGACCTTCAAAGTGAAGGTGCCCAGGGCCTCTGTCACAGCCTCACTCATCTCCTCCACATCCTACGAAAGACGGCCCCTGAGCTTCCCTCTCAGTCTGGGGAACATCCAGAAGCCACGGGGGCCAGATCAGGACTGTGGGAAGGGTTACGGACGGTTTTGACGCACATCTGTGTCAGATAGTTCGTCTCCATGGTGGACTTGTGGGTGTGTGCGCTGCCCTGGTGCAGGAGCCCCTGGTCACAGTTGAAGAGTTCCGACCTCTTGCAGCGAAATATCTTTCTCAACTCCCTCAGAACCTTCACGAATCATTCCTTGTTGACCATCTGGCCATAGGGGACCCAGGTTATGAAGTTTTTGCCTTTTTGCTCTAAGTAAGGGATTAATTTGAGCTTCCCAGTGGACCTGCGCTGTCTGTCTTCATTGGGTCTGAAGGAGTCAGTGTGTTTTCATTGGACCTTCTGTCTCTTGGTCTCCTGATGTTAAAAATACATCCAGCTTTCGTCTCAAGTCACTTGAGAGTCAATTTGCTATGTTTCTCGGACATTTTTGCCAAGCTAATCTCCAAATTTTATTGCACAGCGACCCTCCAAGTTGTCTTCACATGAACAACCTGACTGTGCTCTACACTGGCCACTGTGACAAGCCGCATGCGACTTGCCATGTTCAGGGTGACACCGTTGCCGTCTTTTGCAACGTAGAAAAACAAAATTACGCAAGTACGTTTATAACAACTGTGGTAAGGACTTGTGAGAACAACAAGTATCTAGCACTGTTCATGTGGATTTTACGAGGCCAGTCTCAAAACTTCTGGAGTGGACAGGATTCTCACCAACCTATTATGTGTTTCATCAGCCAGGGAACATGCCTGGTGAAAGAGCTATTTACGGCTCAAAGGGAAATAAGAAACCATCTTCTTTGCATGGCCTCATCTAAAAAAGGACCGCCAGTGACCGGTTTTGTTAGCCTGCTTCCTGACTCTCAGATAGACTAGTCGTGACATACTTATGCCGTGCTTTGCTTCGTTTTGTTGGGGGATAAATTGATAAATCCTAGAACAGGTCATTGGCAATATCTGATTTGTGATCTGGCCGTGGTCCGACCTTGTTTTGACCACAGAGCTTTGGTCGCCCAGTTCACATCCTGGCAGCCTCATACCCCACGTTCCTTTGCATTGACAGGAACAGGAAACGTTACAGTTTTAGCATAGCGGTGTCTCGGAGCGTGACTGCCGGACACCTTCGGGCCTGATCATGGATTAACAGTGGATTTTCCGCCGTCGTTCGCGCCGAGATGGACCGTATAAGACCACATGATAGCCGTATTAGGCTGCATACGTGACCATCTCTGTCGCAGGTCTGTGTCACTTGCAGTTAGACGACAGTTTTTAAAATGTTTATAAATGATCATCTCCAGGAGGGACGCTAAAATTTCCTTCATTTGATACTGTCTCGTTGTCTGCGCAACGAGACAGACAATACGAGTCAGTTTGTAGGTAATTCGCCTATGGATGATCCGCTCGAGATAAGATGATCAGAACGATGCAATGATTGATATTTCTCGCTGATCTCTGCCGGTTTACTGCATGGGCTCTCACCTCCGCGACCGTCCGTTTAGCACGGTGTAAGGCGCGCTCGGCGTGCTACCCTCGTGCTACCCTCGTGTTCGCCATTACAGTCTCCCAGCATGTGTGGATGTATGCCGGCACAGTATCACTGACTGCGACTTTGTGCACTGCGACCGGCATGGGCTGTATCACCGTGCAGTTCTTATTAGGCAGACAGATGAGTTTTAGTGTTTCCAATACTGCCACTGAAGTGAGATACTGACAATATATTGTAGTCTGATATGAAAATTAAAAAGTTTAGCGCAATATTTGCAATGAAACCGATAACCATCGAAATATTTTCATGTAGTTCGTCATGCCCTAGTTTCTAAGTCAGCACATCAGTAGCTTCTCCCTCCAAGCAAAACTGCTCTTTTGCCACTTATGTTATAGACGAATGTCATATTCTTTACTTGTGTATTCCACTTTGACTGGTAACGCTTCACCATGGAATCTATGCTACCTCGCGACGATAAAATACGCTCGTGACATTTATGCCGAAGTTGAGGCTTTGATGACACTCAACTAGTTTGAAGCCTGGATATTGAACTCTAAAGGAAATCTGCAATGCTTGCGGACCAGCCTTTAGTAGGGGAGAGTGGGGTAAGATGCCCAGGGTTTTACAATCTCATATATTATTCGAAAATGACGATCGGAGAGCAAAAACTTGGAGTTTCAACGGAAGCCGACATCATTTTTCTCCAAAAAATAACACACTTTCGTGCCTGAAATATGATAGCTTTTATGCTATTAAGCATTTTCCTGAAGAAGTGAAAGGGGGCATCTTACCCCACAGGGTGGGAAAGACGCCCCCTGGCGTTGGGGAAGATGCCCCCCTGCACTATAAGTGACATAAATGGGCACGTGAATCGCCTGAACGAATCAGTAGTCCCTTCGAGCCTGCAATAGACACTAAACGTCATCGTAAGGGCCCTCAAAAGTAGTCGTAAGGGGCTTCAAAGGTCATCGCCAGGGCCATCATAGTTCAGCGCGGCCACACAAGCCTCCGTGGTGGCGTTCGGAGACCGCTGTGGGGCTCTTACAGGTCTCAATGATGCTTGAGGGCCCTCGAGCCTGCATCGTGGGGACCTCAGATGCCAGCGCGGCCCGTGGAGCCAACATGGGAGCCCTCAAAGGATGTCGTGAGGGGCCTTGGAGCCAATAATGGGGCCCACAGAGGCCGTCGTGAGGGCTCTCAGAGTCAGATGCCGCCCAAAAAGTCGCTGTGTGTGCCGAGAGACCGGCATGGGGAGCACCCGACCGTACTGGACTCTCAATAGTCCCAGATCGGCTTTTGTCTCTCATAACAAGTATGTAATAAATGATTTGACGGGTTCCTTGAAGGCCAGCCTACGGATTTAGGGGGGCTTCTTTCCCCATCAGGGCAGGGGGCATCTTACCCCAAGGTACCGAATTAACATTAAATCAGTACAATTTGTTAGCCATAAAACTATACCCTGAAGCAAACTGTTTGGGACACAGTACACGCATGTTAATGTATCACGACCATAGCAAGAGACATAAAAATTATTTACCTTCTTTGATATTTACAATGTTTTGACACCAAAATATTTTTCGAAAGAAGCAAATAAAAAACATGCAATCACCAGCCAGCCGTTGCCCAACTGAGCTTCGCAAATTTTTGTGCAGTTACCAAGGCAGTCTTCCACTTCACGCTAAGAACATTAATTTCCAGGTTCGATTCTTTGTTTTGCCGCTAGAGGGGGTGGGGCGTCTTTCCCACCCTGGGCATCTTACCCCACTCTCCCCTACCTGAAGTGCAAACCGTGCACCGTCCGTATCCTTTGGTTGGTACGGAATTATCGTTAGATCAGGGTGCGCCAAATTTAACGAAGCATTAAAGGTTTTGAAAGACATACAGTTAACTAAGCTTTTACACGTACCGTATGGTACCAATTAAACAGCTGTTACACAAACTTGCTAAAAATTGCTGCCTTCATGAATATTAACTACACGAAAATTATTTTGCTGATAATAGTTTCATAGCGGCCAGATTGATAGATGAACTTATCGTCGAATGAGTAAAAGTAAATATAAAATATGGCTGGTGCTGTATAAGTTTGCTTTGTTCATTTAGACATAACGTTACACTGAGACTATTACAGGGCTGCGAAGCACTCTAGGAGATGGGAAAGGGGATTGGTCTTTGCTGCCACCCTGATGCGCCGCCGCGGCTGAGCCCGTCCCGAGGGACAGGTCAACCAGCACCGCAAACGGTCACTCCTGACTCCACCGCACAGCAGTCTGCTCCCGAGGAGCTACTCACGTCACAGGAAGGTGACCATTCAGTTACAAACAGGAGGCATAGGGTCGTGAGGAAAAGACGTTGACTGTTCAAGATTCATAAAAGAGATCGGTGGACGATTTAGATATTATGGCAATGTTGCGCGGTTTATCCGTCCCCAATAACTATTTGTACTTATGAGTCCCCGCGTGTTTTGAACTGACATCTTCTTGATTTTATTTGTTCTCATTAGACACGAGCATTACGCAAGGTTGCATATTTCGCCGGCAAGCTGATGAGATTTCGAGTCGAAAAACAGGATGTATGACGACGAATCGTGCGGGTCTGAGTGGGTCAAGGTGAAGATTGAACGTGTCCCCTTCCTATTGTTGATCCAGCTGTGTGCCATGTCGTCACACCTGATGTAACTATCTCATCGGCCGGGACGAGCGGGGACTCCCTGCTCATTTTGACCTGATTTCTCGCTAAAGAGGATGCTGCCGAGTTGGGCAATACTCGATAGTGGTGGAGGAGGGTGTTTCACCTAGTGATGCCGAGGAGACTGGCAGTAAAAAGTGGCTGCTATCGTTATCAGTTTACGCCTGTTCTGGGATGACTCACATGCTTATTGCTCGTCTGTAGTTCTTTCTTCGGCCGAGTTCCGGCAGAAAACGCCACTGTACTGATATCATTTTGCTCGACAGTGTTTCACCGGAACATACCGCTTCACCGGAATAGTGAAAGTCGGCTCCGCCGCTCTCCAGAGAGCAGTTGTGACTTACCTAGCAGCTCGTCCTGTCTCATGTGCAGCTCCTCGAGGTTGTCGACCTTGTAGCGCAGCTGGCTCAGATCGCTTGTCAGCTCTGACTGATGCTTCCGGGCCTGGTCCCGCTCATTGCTGGCCGCCTGGCAAACACAAACACAGCTCTGATGGTCACACTAGTTGGCCGTGGGTGAAAGGGAACTACTGTTTCGATGACAGTGGTCGAGTTAAGTTGACGATTGTGAGTGGTTTACCGTTAGTTACATAATATTGTCTTGTTTTTAACTTATAGTTATTGGTTATACGAATGGAAAGTTTACTTGTTAATCGATGCTTTCAAGGTTGTTGTTATGATTATATATTTTGTAACGAAAGCTCATTATATTTCGCTCAAAGACCCCATGAACACGAGCATTGAGCACAGTGGTAACTAGCATATTTCAGATTAATTTGCGAATGATGACCAATTATGCCCTTTGGCCATTTCCTGGCTCATTTAACCCCGGCTACTTATAGTTTTCAAGCTGAAACTGTTTGAACAGTTGTATTGATAGATACCCGGTCTGTTTTACACTGGCTTTGCTATTGATCTTTATCTACTGCGACTTCCATGTTGAGTTTCTTGGAGCGAATGTTTGCCCATTCCGCAGCATCGGGCTGGAATTCTATAGCTTGGTGCATTGCGTCGAAAGGTGCATCGCCTATTGCTCAAAATGGCGCGTTAGTCCTGTGTGTGATGACCCATTGCAGAGGGAATGCTTGTTCGATCGACCGTGGCACAAAACATCCGTCCATCAAAGCAATACAGCGAAAAAGGCCGCCAAAAAATTTCAGCTCACTGCTCAATGACCCATGATCACAACAGATCACGAAATACGTCAAGCTGCTGTCATTTGTGTTCAGTCATTAGGTCGGTCGGGCATTCGACCCACTCTCACCAAGTACCACGAGGTGAATATTGATGATGTAATAGCAAATGACGTCATTGATTGCGCGACAAATGGACAGACATCACCAGTGGGCGATCCACATCTACGCAAATTACCCCAATTTCTGTTCCAGGATCTAACATTTGGATAAAACATGGCGCCGCTGTTTGTCTTTCGGTACCGTTCCTCCTCGATCGACCTGCCTTTCGTACGTCAGTGGAGTTTGTTCGCGCCTACTGGACCGATCAGTAAACAGCCCTCGGCCTCGCCTCAGTGGCGGTGTTTGCCCACCATGACCTCAGTACGCGACGCCAATGCTCCAGGCGGAAATTGGAGCATAACACGTGGGCATCACGATCAATACGCTTACCGCGACCCATAGGAGCCAGACCGTACACCGAGGTATATAGCAGACTTGAGGATAATTATCGATTAGAAATTATATGCGAATGTGATTGATAAGAAACTACCGGTTCCCATGTGCCTATCGATGCTTAGGCCTATAGGCGTCTATTGGTGCTTAGCAACCTTTTATCTAGTGGAACCATCAGCGTGCAGGGAGCGAGCGTGCTTATGAATAACAGCACCGATCGCTGAATAACGAGACAGGTGGGCTGACGACGATATACCTGTTTACTAAAGATGACCCTGGGTCATACTGCTGCCTAGCTTATCGTGCTGCAAAATGTGCATAGCGGCTAATGTGCTACAACAACCATTGCCCTTCGTAATGGCAAAGCTGTTTTGTCGCCAAGGGTACAAATAGGTTTCGAAGTCTTTCCTTTAGGCCTCGAGTTTTCCATAATGGCCTTTAACCCTCGCCCATGTAGGGGGGGGGGGGGGTTGGTGCAACCCCCCCTGAGGTTTTTCTTAGCTACACGCCGAACCGTTTCAGATAGCCTGCTCAAATTTTCAGTACCCTATGGGGCATCCTTTGCGCAACTTTTGGTATTTTTTTGTCAAGGTCATGTCAGGTCACGGAGTTATGACGTCATAAAGGGAACAACCTTCGGCCAGATTTACGCTAAATTGGAGATTGCTTCACATTAGTATAAATGCCGACTGACCTGACACACTGATGGATTGTTTTAGAATCATAACTGGCTGATTTGACATTGGCACAATGTCCGTTGACCTTTTCAAGGTTACTAAAGGTCAAGGTCAGGTCAGTGACTTCGGTTGACCTGTAATGACTTCTTGCACTTGTATGCCTTTTCGGGGTATTTTGATGCCCTGAATTCGAATTTGCTATCCATTTCAGGCATCGTCGGTTGTTTCTTGTAGTTCATTTTGGGTCAGGGTGAGGTCAGTGACGTCACACGCCTGACGTGACCCAATGCACAAATGACCTTGCAGACTTCCGATGCTCCCAACGCATCATTTTTAGAGTTATGACATCGAAATACACACCAAACGATAGAGAATTGATCAAGGATCACGATAGTGAAGGTTTCAAGTCGATATCTTTTACCGTTTTGCCGCAATCGGCGCGGAAATCTGAAAAAGTTAGATTTTTCCGAAATTTTGACCTTTGACCGGTCATAAGTAGGTCAAATGTTGACCTAGGACCAAAAAATATACCACCAATCGCGAGATCTCGTTGAGAGCAATCCGTTGGTCTTTTCCGCTAAGCTCTACGACGCTCCGTTTTCAAACGCCAGGGGGGTCGCACCAACCCCCCCCCCCCCCCTGCATGGGCGAAGGTGGCAAAATACCGTTTACGGGCGAGGGTTAATTCATTGGACTGGTTCGTACTTATCTCTACAGTACACAAGGACTTTCTGCCTTTGCAAAAGTCCACAGTTCTTTTGTTAGGACGCATGGCTCAGTCTTACAGAATAAAAGTCATGACGTCGTATATGACGCATGTTTTCCAAAGACGGCAGAAGTTAAGAACAGTGATCTATTGGGAACGCATTTCTGCAGTTCAACAAGTCTAGTTTTGGTAAATATTATATAGTTTTTGTTGAGAAACGACTCAGTTGTACCTATCTGGCGGCTTTTAGCCCAATGGTATGACTTCTTATAAAAACCTAGCTCTGTGATCAATTTCAAATAATTTTTTCAGCGACTTTTCAAATATGCATTTACGTTGAATCAGAATGGCTTTTTCCTCCCGAACAGTCCACAAAATGCCTAAGTGCATGCAACCAGAGCAGGCGCGGCGCCACGGATTTTGTCCAGGGGGGGCAGAGCTTCCGGGGGGCCTCACACCAAGGGGGCCTCCCAGCAGTGGGGCCTTTTTGTTGTACCTATCACCAACAAATCATGCATCCTTTTATCCCGGTTACTTTTCTTTCCAAAAAGTTCACATGCTTTGCGGTATGGACGACAGTATAAGTTACCTAACAAAAAGTACCTACGTCTTGGGGTAAGTTTGGGAAAAAGGGATTTGTGTGGTAGTAGGTAGGTACTAGCCTAGGTAGGCATACTGAATACCTAATTGAATTTTTATTTCAGAGGGTTAAAATGCAAAAGTTAAAAAATGACGGTAAAGCGTTTTTTTTCAACTTCAAGACTATGGCCGTGACAGCGCCTCCCATTAAGCCTTTTTCGATCGAAATGGCAGAACATACACTGGCGGATCCAGACTTGCGTTTTGGGGGGGGCCAACTCCTGCAAGTAACCAAACCTAGGGTACCCCCAAATCCTGTTTTCTCATCGGATTTAGGCCACTTATTTTTTCGTCACAGCCCTGAAACGATATTTTTTTTTTAAACTAAAAATAAAAAAATATAGAAATGGTAGCCCACCCAACCCGAGCCTAAATATTACTTTGAAAACACTTCAAATTGCTTTTGTCGACCAATTAGCCCGCTCCGGGTCGGTGCGTGGCGCAGCCTTCGCGGACTGGGATGTGTCGGTTGGACCCCCTGCCGTTCGGCCCCTGATTAAGCTAGAGCTCGCGGAAAAAAACAGGCGTGTTGCCCGTGAGTGACGAGACGAAGCCGATGATACCCGATTTTAAGGTCCTTGGTCATTGGTTGACCTTCCAGGGCGGTGTTTCACGGTCGTGCTGACAGCCGCTGACAGCGCATTCCGCGAGCTAAGGTCAGCCTTCGGTAGTGTTGTGGGTATAGGCTTGTTGATGTCTCCATTGAAACCAAAAGTGCCATCAGCGCTGGCAGCGGCTGGCAGCGTGCCGTGAAACACCGCCCAGGTCAGGTCACAGACCCAAAAGACGGAAAAATCAGGACCTGTCAGAACCTCCTAAAGTAAGGCTGTAATACGTTTTTTTTGTGCTGATCACAAATTTCATGTTAGTTTGGATCATAGATAATGTCTTCATGCGTTTAGACCATGTCGGGGCAGGTCAGGTCAGATCAACCAGTAGGGGTACTTATGGGCGTCCGTATAGCAGGTGTCCACTACCACTGGCAGCTACGTAACATGATACGAAGGCATCAAAACTACTTCGTAAATGTTCAAATGGCTGCAAAATGCTAAATTCAAAATCAGCTAAACGAAACTATCCTAGAAACATGTTAAACTCGGAAAAGTGCACCGAGGTCATCAAAGGTCAATGACCTGACTTGACCGTAAGGTGACATTGGCATCCGCCCTAATGCGTGGGAGCAACATCATATCACATGTTTGAGCGTTTTAAACCACGAAAAGACTATGAAAGCGCGGATAATGTGAGCCGACATACGCCGAATCGCTATTCCGGCCAAACATGGCCTCCAACATGGCCAAACATATGGTGCGTTCGGAGAGGCACATTCCATGTGGAATCCGTTGAATATTCCATGCGCGCGGAATATTTCCGGAGATTAGCCGTTCAGAGAGATACGCCTCCGAACGCGGCACGGGGAATATTCCCGGGGACGGTGAATATTCCATGCTCTCCGAACGCACGGATAGTCTCGAGAAATAGGCCACAAGTCAAAGTTCACTTGGGTCAGGGTCATGAAATTTTCAGACTTTGTCACCATGAGGGTACTAAAGTTTCGTCGCGATCGGCTTCATGATACCTTACACGATAACTTCACACGTCGATCGAGAGTTAAAGCATGGATGAAGGAGAACCAGGGGATGAAGGTTCTTTCATCCATGGTTAAAGTGTGCAATAAGAACTTCTTGGGTGAAGACAAGACCAACACTTTTATCAAGCTCACAGATTTTTAATGATACGGTATTTTCTCTCTACCTACTACGCCCTTCTCACATTCATTTTTCTTAAGTGTTTTTGGGGACAAAAAATATATGTTGTT